CCCCCTCTCCGCGCGCCCCGCGAGAGCCACGCTTAATTTATCGGCCGCTGACGAAAATAATGCAATTCAGCAGACGACCCCCCCCCCATCCCCCCCTGGCCGAGCCCCTGCGGCCATGGGTCTGCTCTGCTTATCGGGATTTATTGGCTGAGTAATTAAGGCGAGCGTCTCGGCTCCTTCGAGAGGGGCAAACGGCCGAGCGATTTACAACTTTCGGGGCGGGACCTGAGGCTCCAGCTGTTACGCCCGCCGAAAAAGAAATCGACTTCCCCGTGACCGAAGGGGTAATTTTCAGACCTCATAAACCTCACTTCATAAGTTTCCAGTCATTTTGCACGCGAGCAGATCGCTTTAGAACTTCGGTTATGAGCAGAATTAGGAAAATTGGGAAGGAAGGGGGGGGAGGGGGTTGCACCGCCGTGCTAAGAAAAAACGCCGTAAGAGTTTTCAAAAGTTGCAATGTTTCCTTCGGTAAAACACGCGAATTCACTGGGAAAATTGAGAATATTTTACTTCGAGTTGTTCGGGGAATTTTTTTTTCGCAATTTAATCTGAAACATCTGAAAATTTCAATGAGAAAAATGTATGAGTTTCCTCAGAAATACTCCTAACTAAAACATACAAAAATACTCCCTGCTAATACTTCATCAAGGGAAATTTGGCAACCCTCGAATGTTCATACGGCGTTCTATCTTAACATGGCAGTGCAGTCTTCATAAAAATGACATACCAAACGATATCGAAACGCCAGTTGAACAGTTATGATGTCATCATAGATTAGTGGATGTGATTCCATTGGCATTTTGACACTCATCTATGAGCGTTTTACTATGGAGGGATAATTCCGGATAGATGATTCAGAAAAGACGCCCCATCACACTCCGATATAATAATGGAAAAGGAGGTGGAATTCAGTGAATATGTGAGAAGTAAGAGAAGTAAGTAAGTCTTGAGCTAAGAAAAACACAGAACCCCCAAAAAATTTAAAAGGAAACCGAAAGAAAATGCAGGGCAGAAATTAATGCAGCGCATGAAATTGAAAAATTTGAGAGGGCTTAGAGGAAGTAGCATACCGCACTTATTTTCAAAAAATGCGCTAAAAACACGCGTTATTTACACATCGGTGCATTTGGGGGCCGTATGTAAAGACAAAGTAAGAAAGTAGTGGTAGTATAGTATTTGTCTAACTTTTTATGGGTATTTGTAACTACGCTCTTCCTATCTGCAATTAGGTCATAGGTTTTATTACAAAATAGGCATTTTACATAAATAAATTAAGTTTGCAAGAAAAAGTGTGAAAGTAAGAATAGGGAGCAGGGTTGCCATAATTTCTTCACATTCAAATTCCCCGACTCTTTTTGCTTTTCCTTGACTTTCCCTAACCTTAGAACCAAATTTCCATTTTAATAAAAAAAAAAAAATTTCTTCCTTTTTTGATTCTTTAAAAAAATTCGCCGATTATTGTTACACTATGATCGGTAGATGTGTCCAAAACTCCCTGACTTTTCCCGATCATTGCGAATTTCCCGACTTTCTCTGATTTTCCCGGGTTTCCAGACCGCCAACAACCCTGGGAAGAGCCTAAGACACAGTAAAAATGCTGTAGTAGTGTAAAAATGGAAAGGAAAACAAGAAAGAGAGAAAAACGTCAGCTGTTACATAGAGAGAACGAGCTCAATTCGAGCATTATCAGTAAGTGAGCGATTTTGGGTAATTTGATTGTTAAACGCGGCAGCACTTAGACAAGACAATTGCGGAGACAGGAATGCTGTCTCGAACGCTTGATATATGGTTGTGTCGCTCCCGCGGTCTATATTAAAGATGCAGCCACGCTGCGTGTGCGTGCAATCGTGCATGCACTCGAGAGAATGGAGGGCTTTGCCCAAAACCACTGCTCCGCGAAATACGCGAGCTTTCGCGGATAAAAGCTGTCCAACAAGTGATGATAAATCAAAGAGCAAAGAGAACTGGTGGAGGAGAGCAGCGAGAAAATCAAAATCACTCCGCCTTTCACAATTCAGCCTCCCCGAAGCCATAAATTCTTAGCCGGTGTGACAAGCTCCCTTGAAATCTAAAATTGCCCCGAGGTTTAAGGTTTTTGAGCCAAGAATTTTCTGACTTTTTCGGAATGTAGTGGAAGGAAGATAATTTTCACGGGGCGCATTTCGCGAGAATTTTGAGCTCTGCCAATAGAGCGTAACGGGTGTGCTTGGCGCCACTTAAAGTAATATTCGACGGGACGGGGAAATTCAAGGTGGACTTGCAAAGCTTCGGCCCTCGGAATTGGGGTCGGTATGAGGTTTTTTCGTCATCCTTAGAATCATTCACACATACTAAAATTTTAAATTGAGTATAAGAACCGTTTTCGGGATATTGGAGGGGGGGGGGAGTCCCCGATTTTCACTCATTTCTGAAGGCATTGATTGAAACATGTTCGACTACTTGCGGCCCTCTTTGTGCAGGGCTCTTCCATGGTTGAGATATATACAGTGACTTTACCGAAATTTCACAGACTTTTTAAAAGTCAGGGAAACGTTATGTAGTTAACCAATTGCACGTGTATAAAAAAAACAGGGCTCGTTTTATTTTTGAGAATTTTACTGACCGAAGCCAATATCTAATTTATTGCTGAATAATCTGTGCTTATTGATATCAATGCCTGTGTGTATTTTTTCAGATTTTTTTATTCACGATTAGTATAGAAGCCTCGTTTATCTACGAAAGCATTCCTAAAACAACTAACAAATGAGCTGCTTGGAGGAAAAATTCAGTTTTACGTCAAAGGAGAAGCAAAAATAATGTCGTTACGACTGGATTCAAATGGGATGAGTTCACTAATATTTGTTTCTAGGAAATGATTCACTTCCATAATAGATTGATTGATTGATTGATTTTATTTGCATGCTTTGATAATCCGTGCCAAGAGGAGACTTTAAACTCTTTTACCAGCTTTTTCTCGAATTATTGCACCGAAAAAAGTGTCTGGAGGATGTCAAGCATTTTCCCGTTTCCGAAAATCCCGATGAAAGAATATTTTACAGGGATTCTAAGATTATTTTAGAATTGCGAACTTATAACATTTTCTGAACTTTTCATCTGATAGTGAATCTGGAGATAGGATGAGGTTTGAAAAAATTAAAATATTATTTCACTTCTTTTGGATTTTAAAAATTTTCTGAGTTTTTTTATGATCAACCTAAACCTCTCATACTCAATGGTTTAGAAGATTCTTTTTCTAAAGTCTGCAATTCTTCGCAAAGAACGAACACCATGCGTGACACTAACAACCCGTCATCTGCAGTCAGGCCAGTTAACACCCGATGATAAGAACTGTCACTGTCACAGATTGAAAGTGTCATCTCATGAACCTCTGTCACAACATACATGATTATCAAAATATTCATTTAAAATGTTTTCTCTTCAGTAATAGATTAAAAAGCTGTAAGTTCTTGGCATTGTGATTGAGAGTCTTATGAATAAAGTCACAAGTACAGGTGTTGCAAATAAAAGGTGTTGAGTGCATGTGTTTAGATGCGATTTAAACGAGAGGGTTATGAAAATAGTTAGCTTTAGAGAGGTGTCCTAGCAACATTTAACTCTGGCAGGTATGTTAGAATTTTTGCTTAAACTTCTGCTAGAAATATCCTATTTTACAGTTAAGATCGGGTTCACTCAAGCTTTATGGTGGCAAAGACGACGTCACACTTGGACAACGATGACTGCACTCGATTTTGGTTTCTGTTTAGTCCGGAATCATGCTGTAAGTCGCTATTAGGTCGGTGAAATACTGAAATCTGTTACGTAAAAGATTTGCGTACACGTTTGAAAAATAAGTCTCATTAAAAGAGAAGTCTCCCTGAAAGTCCCTCAAAAGATATCTAAAAAGTCAGTGAACAGCCCTCTAAAAAAAATTAGGTTACCGTTCCTGGTCGATGTCACTCGGAAAATTACTACTTTAGATAAAATTCAAGTGACAAAAAGCTTAGAGCTCCTAAGGTTATCGTTCAAGAGTTTTCCTTTCCAAATTTCCTAACTTTTCAGGTAATCCTTGACGCTTTTCAGTTTTCCCATGCCTTATTTTAAAGCTTCTACGACACTTTCTGTTATGATTCCAGTCTGACTGGGGAGCGATAATTCGAATGCAACCAAAACCATGAAGTAAACGTGCGCTGTTAATTTTGGTTAGTTCTTCTTCGGGTTGAATTGACCGAATCTTTGAATTGAAAATTTGCAACATAAAAGAAGGCGCAAATCGCCAGGATAAAAGCAGGATCCTATTGGTGACAGTCCTGAGCGCTAGCCAATCGCGAGGCGCAACCTTCGTATCGCATGGAGAGAAAAGAGTAATTGGTTCAGCAGGACGCTTCCTTCATCCCCAGAAGTCTCAGGGTAACCTACGGTTTGGGTAAATTCAACAAAAAATTAGGTCTATTAACCAAGTCCTACTGTTGAGTCGACCGACAACTGACACCACGAGAGGATGCAATAGTATTTTTAGTGAGTGCAGTATTTTCGGAAGAAAATATACTAACAGTCTCAGAGTATTAAGCTGGCTCCAGACTATGCACTGGAAAAAAAAAAAAAACCACATTGGATCCTGAGTCCAGACTCTTGAAAACATCGACAAGAAAAAATACTCTTGACTCAATCAGATTTTTGCTTGGATCAAAAGGAAATCCGCTCAAAGTAAGAGGCTTGGTTCTTGAAGTAAGCTTAAATCTGATTGAATCAAGAGTATTTTTTCTTGTCGATGTTTTTAAGAATCTGGACTCTAGATCCAATGTGTTTTTTTCCAGAGCTGAATCCAGACTTCGCGGCACTTGGCAAATTTGACTTGCCAAACGTCGAGTATTTAACGAATCCCGAGTAGTCTGGATGGAACACTAAGCATAAACACGGAAATTTCGAACGACATAGAGAACCTAATAAGAGACCAGTGAAAACACTTGGGCGGGGATATCCCAATCATGGGATATTGAAGGGATGAAATGGAGACAAACCTGACGGGGCTTCCTGGGGTACGGCGGGGGCGCTCCGATCCGGGAACCACTACACACGCGGCGGCGGCGGCGACGGCGAAAAATCCGAACTCCCGGGTTCACGGACGGGGGGCCGACGGGGGGACGGGGGGTCACAATTAGTGGCAATAAGCCGCGCACAGATCACGTCGATGGGGTCGACACGGAAATCGGGCGGCGCGTCGCGGCGGCGGGACAGGTAGGAGAGCGGCGCGGCGGCGGAGCGAGAGCACGTGTGTCGACTACTACGGGGGCCCGGGGCGGGGCGGGGGGGGGGGGGNTGGGGCGCGGGGGTTGCGTACGGTACGAGGGAGGAAAGTGACGTCACACCGGGGCAACGGGGCGACGGCGGCGCAGCGAGGACGAGGGCGAGGACGCGACTGAGGGCAGCTCCGTCGTCGACGTCGTGCAGTCTGCTGCGCGTCTGTCGTCTCTGCGCCTGCCTACACCGCGTGCCGGCCGTTCGTTCGTTCGCTCGTTCGTTGTACTCGGCGCGGGCTCCGGGCGCCAACCCGCGCGAGCGCCCTCCCCGCCGCCCCCCGCCCCGCCGCAACCTCCGCCTTCCAGGCTTCCAGCTCCGCGATGCCAATTCGCGCCAATAGCGGCTAGCCTCCCCCGACGTTAATAGTCATCACGTCGCAGCTGGAACCGGACGATAACATGGGCTCCTAATCGTCATCTTCGGGGCCGTTCATAAAATACCTGATGCTCTAAGAAGGGGGGGGGAGTACACCCCGGTTCGTTTCGTTCATACACCCATAAAAAAGCGCCTCCCCCGCGATGCCAAAGGCTCAAAAACTTCTTGACCACGAGACCAGGCGGGTCGCGAGATAAAATGAAGTGGCCCTGTACATAGAGTACGTGTGTAGGGAGAGAGAGCGGACGACATGACGAAAAATGGAGCTCTTAGAGCCCAAAGGGGCAGCCAACCTACTCACACGAAAAAAGTCATTGCCAATATTCTGATCAGACCAAGATGGCCAAGGATGTTCATAAATTAGCGTCCTTTCGCAAAAATGAGAAAATTTATGCAAAAACTAAGTTAGATACGTATTTACGAACGACGGGCCGTAATACTGCCGTGCTAAGGAAAAACGCCGTAGGAGCCATCAGGCGTTGCCAAATTTTGCTTGATAAAACACAAATTTCCTGATAAACTTTTAAGAATTTTTGTTCCAAATTTTCAGATAATATTGTTCAGAATTTCATCTAAACTTCCTGACAATTTCGAAGACGAATATTCATAACTTTCCTCAAAAATAAAAATTTTATTCGAGGAAATTTGGCAACGCCTGAAGGTTCATACGACGTTTTTCCTTAGCACGGTAGAATAGTTGTAGTAATACCCTGACCTGATGCTTATTCAAGATTGCAGAATCCTCAAATGGATGTGTAAAAAAAAAAAAAAAAAAAAAAAAAAAAAAAAAAAAAAAGTTCTGGACAGTTGAGTTCATTTGTTAGCTGCACCTTGGGACCCAACGAGCCTCAATACCTAACCTTCAAAATTAACGACATGCCAGTACTCTCCCCATATAGGTGCTCTACCATTGAATGGGTTTTAAATATTGGGAAGGTCGACTATGTGTCGTCGTTATTCGCAAAACCGCGTTGGAAGTCACGCGTTTTTTGAAAGATCGAAGCATTTAATACGTGCCGAATCATAGGAAGGTCATATTATGGAAATATCTGAGGAAAAAGCGGTTTTAGAACGGGAAGGCCAATTTGAAAAGTGGGAAAGTCAAGAACTTCCTACATCCCTTCCCGATGCGGTTGTCAAAATTCAGATGACCTGCTCCGAAAAGTTGCACGCCATGGTTAGGTTAAGGTAGCCGTGCTACGAGCATAGGTAAGCGTAGGTAAACCTACGCTAATAACAAAGCTACCTGTGAGAGACGTGTCCAAAGCGCCTTAAACAATAGAATGATTTAGAGACTTCGTTATTCGATATAATATCAAACTCAGTGGTTCAAACCGAAACAAAAATCATAACCTCGTGCAGAAATTCTGAGAGAGTTGGCTGAATAAATTCATTACTATTTAGTCATCGGCAAATCATAAATTAATTAAGGACTCATTAGACACTAGAGATTCCGATCGCAAGAAACACTTGGACGCATCGATTTTACCACCATGGCGCAATGGTAAATCAGAGAAAAGGTAATGTATTTGTTTACCTTTGAACTATCGCGCAGCCACTAAAGCAGTCTATTATTACTGGTCCAAAGTCGATCACATTGCCTAATCGAGTTCTTGAAGGCGCGAGTGCCTTGGTCTGTGTCCGTGCCAATGGTTCACTGAGAACGAATGAACGGGAAAGAGCACGAATCGCAGCAGAAAGTGGAACCCCCGATAGATTTACCAGCAGTAATAGCTGCTTGCAGTAAGTTCTACCACGTTCGTTTAGTTTTATTACCATTAGGATATGAGGTTCAGTTCCCACGAAGCGGCGAGCAGCGCTCTAATCAGCTCGCCTTCAAAAACTCGATCAGGCAATTTAAACGGCTCGGGAGCAGCAATAGCTGCTTGCAGCGATTTGAGCACGTTTCCTCTGTTATTCCGACTGCAGTGCGGAAGCTCATTTCTGAAACTCCATCCTTACAGTGGTCTACGTATAACAAGTTTGCCTCCATGAAGTCGCCACGGCAAAATGCTCCAAATGAGGGCAGCAATTCTGTTTGCTCACTGGAAAAAAAAAGAAAGAAAAAAAAAAAAAAAAAAAAAAAAAAAAAAAAAAAAAAAAAAAAAAAAAAAAACACACATTGGATCTAGAATCCAGACTCTTAAAAACATCGACAAGAAAAAGTACTCTTGATTCAATCAGAATCTAGCTTAAATCAAGAACCAAGCCTCTGAATTTAAGCGGATTTCGTTTTGATTCAAGCAAAAATCCGATTGAATCAAGAGTATATTTTCTTGTCTATGTTTTCAAGAGTATGGACTCTAGATCTAATGTGTTTTTTTTCCAGTGCTGTAGATTGTTCTCCTTGAGCGACTTCAGGGGAATTAACATTTACGGGCGCTTCTGTAACATTTAGGAGGAAGATTCTACGGCTGCTCAATTCATTGATGATTTCCGAGCATTAAAATACTAAGATCTCCGGAGGTCAAATCACGCTGGGGCACGTGACGTATCGGCTATGGGAAAGAATCCCGAGTATAAAGTCATTTTCATTTATTTTTTTCGGATTTGCGATATTCACCCGGGATGTAGTTTTAAAATAATTTCAAACTCTTTTTCGGGTAAATGTTGCGAACAAATACCTAATGGAAGGCGACGTGATGCGACGTATAGATTTTTTAGGAAATATCTTGAAATCGGGAACTCATCAATCCATCACCGAATAGATCTCTGTCTCAAAAATGTCAATGGTCCTCCTTAAGGTGTAACCTCAACACTTAGAAGAATGATTTGATCGATCAGTTGATAGTTTCTGGATTTTTTACGTTCCTTTCAATTCTCTGGGAAGTACATTACGTAGAAGTCCGTAAGGTATTTGTACACAAAATGTGACATCGGAACATTTTGTAATAACTCCGTAAGTACACCTTGATCGAAAATCGCAATCAAAAAGAAGACAAACTCGATGATGACAGTGAGTCCAAACCGCACCACCGACCAATCAGAACCGCTAAGCCGGACTTCAGTGCGGTCGCGATTCGTCTTAAGTATATAAGTACAGTGAGAGGACCGACGAAATTCGGCCGGTCAACAAGCGTCTGGAATGGAAACGCAAGACCTCCGAGTTCTGAGGATAGATCAGTTTATGTGCGAGTTGCACCGTTTTACAAATCCATCTTATGGTGCGTCCGCACCATACTTAGTCTGTGCCGTTTCGCCACCAGACAGTGCAGTTTCCCTATAACTTCCTTGCCATTTCCAGGACTCTTCCGACAATCATACAGTGACGAATGCCATTATCAACCGGGTGACGACTGAAAATACCACAACTCAGTAACTTTCCCAACAGAATACCCCTAATAATTTTTGTAAAATACCCCGACTCCTCAGAAACAGTAAAACGCTTAGTAAGGTGTTTTTTCCACTGAATTCTCACCTACGTGTCTTCATAGTTCCCCGACTTTTCCAGGTTTCCGCTACCTGTCACCCATTGTGGTTCCCTCCCTAATTAGTAGTTGCAAGGAACACACGATTCAACGTGAGTGCCCGAGTTCCTGCTGTGCAAGTTATCATTTATGAGTCCAATGCACGATCAGATACGTGACAGAGTCCATCATATAGGTACAAAGCCACACACATCACGTTACGCACAACTGATTGGCTGGCAATCCCATGAATCATACCAGAATGGTGCTCTCGTTGCTGTAAAAACAGAATGGGTTTGTCCCATCAGGAAATGTAGCCAAGAAAGTATACATAAACCGGGTGAAATGACTTGAAAATCATGATGGTCCCTCTAAAAAAGTCAGAAATTCGCTCCTTAATTCGTGCGCAATTAACCTAGCTAGGAGCAGGCTTTTTCAAATTTACAGCATCTGGGAGCAGTTTTCCAGAGACCAGAAACGATCAAACGGCAATTTCAGGTTGTCTCGATGATTGCAGTTCAGGTGCAGATTGGTCGTTCTTGTTCACTTATTTTGTTTACAAACAAAACATGATTTTTGATAATGATCCATGTCCTCGCATATTATCTCTCCGTTTCATTGATCAGCAGCTTATTTTGATTAATATACTTAGAATTGTCAAATTTCGTTAACCGCAAGTTGCCGTTTCTTGTTTTCAGATACGGTGGCTGAAAACTGCCCCCAGACACGAGAAATTTAAAAAGCAAATTGCAAACTACGCGAATTGCGCACTGATAAGTAGATTACAGACTACTTCAATATTACCATCATGATTTTCGTGCTACTTTACCACTACTTTGAGGTCAGTTCACACGGCTGTATTTTTTACGAGCGTTTCAAGATTTTTTTTTCTTTTTCTGCTGTTTTATGGTTTTGTGTCTAGCACCCACAGCCAACTTTAGACTACGTCCATTGTCCGTAGACATCGAAGGATTTAGGCACATCCTCACTGGAAAAAGAAACACATTGGATCTAGAGTCCAGATTCTTGAAAACATTGACAAGAAAAAGGACTCTTGATTCAATCAGTTAAAGCTTAAATCAAAAGGAAACCCGCTCAAATTAAGAGGCTTGGTTCTTGATTTAAGCAAAAATCCGATTGAATCAAGACTATTTTTTCTTGTCGATGTTATTAAGAGTCTGGA